CCTCTCCCTCTGCACCCTGCTGCGGCCTCCACCCACCCACCACAAACTCTTCCACGGAGCCCGGATGATGGCGATCGCCCCTTCTAATTGCAGCTGCACTCCCAAAGCCACGTTCGGTTATCACAGAGGGTGCAGCTCTCGCAGCTCAGCCTCCACAGTCCCAGGCCCTCGGGGCCAGCTCAGGAACGGAGGGAATTAATTACATTTTTCCCATCCCCTTCTTTTAAAGTAGGGGAGCGCGCCGGCACGTCCCGGGGGAGGGGGCGGTGAGCAGAGGCTGTGGAAGGGGGGTCCCCCACCCCTAAACCCCAAGCCTCTCCCCAGCGGGCGGAAGGGAGGGTGAGGCAGGGCCCTTATTGATTTAGTCTGGTCGAGGCTGGGACTGATTTGGAGCAGAGGGAGAGGAAGGGGTTGGGGGCTGGGTGGGGGCTGTGACGGGTTGGGGGAAATGGAGGAGGAAGGGAGAGGAAGGGATGGCTGTCTGTCAGCCTGATGGACAGCCCTGAGATTTGCCTTCAGATAAAACCTTACAGATGTGGAGGTCGGTATTGATTTTGAGTTAGTAACGGTAACGTACCAAGAAGTAATACATTAGTGAAAGCAAGGTCACCGGGAAAAAAGTAAGACCCACCCGGGGAGAGGCCTTAGCATTCTTGAGGGGGGGTAGATTACTGCATCAGACCTGGACTTCCTCAAGTTCAAAAGTTTGCAGGCTCCAGACCTCAGCTGGGCTCCTAACGGTGGGCCAATGCTTCCTGCTTCTGCAGGCTGAGAGGGAGCCCTAGAGGTCCTGGGGAAGCCAGAGGCCAGCAAGGATCATTTCGGCCCGTTGGGCTCTGTGCAGTGAGGTTGCCAAACCTCTCCGTGTGCACTCCAGCTGGTGGCAGGGAAAGAGCGCAGCTAGGGACCCAGGAGACCTGGGTGCAAATCCCAGCTCTGCCACTTCCCAGCTGTGTGGTTGTGGGTGAGCCTTTTTGCTTCCCCGTGCCTCAGTTTCCCCATCTGCCTAATGGGAGTAATGATACCCTATCTGCTCGAGGAGTCCATGAAGTGACCCATGCACAACTCAGGCCCTGCGGTCTTCATCCGTGAGTGTCCTCCCCTCCCGCCGCTCTCCACTTGGGTCCTGTCCCATTAGCTTAGATGCTGTCCTGCCTGGAGACAGGAGGTTGGATGAAATGGAAACCCTTTGATCCACAGACCCCCAGGGACTCTGGAAGAGAGTGAGCTGCAGCCACACAGCCCCCATTCACACCTTCCCCAGATGTGGATTTGATTTGATGGTCCAGGGCAAATCCCATTGAGCAAATCCCATTACGGGAAAAGCTCCTGGACCCAAGCTGTTTCTGAGCTGTCTGTTCACGGCCCAGGGTCCAAGGCCCTCCTGAGCCATTGGGCACCACCCAAGCCCCTTCTGAGAAAGGACTGCACAAGCCCTTGCAGCTCCCGGAGTTTTCACTCTCTCCACATTCACCTTCTTGCTATTTCCTAAACCTGCAGGGTGTATCTCGTGGCTCAGCCCCCTCAACCCCAGGGACCTCAGGGCCTTTGCACTTGCTGATGTCTCTGCCTGGAAAGCTCCCCTGCCTCGTCTTCTCGGGGCTGTTCTTTCTGGTCTTGCTGGATACCACGTCTTTGGGGAGGTCTTGCCTGACTCCCCCACGTAGCCACTTGTTTTTCCTCCATAGAATTGGTCAGTATCAGAAATTATATTATTTGTTCACTTGTTTTAAGTCAGGGTTGTTTCTTAGGCAGACAGCTCCAGGAGGGCATGGGACTGGCATTTTTCATGGCTGTGTCCCCAGTGCCTGGCTCAGTGTCTGGCATATAATAGGTGCTCAGTAATTATTTGTTAAAGGAATGTGCATGAATTCAGCAGAGGTTTTCTGAGCTCAGAATATGTAGCAAGCACTGAGCAAGGCTACAGAGATGGACAAAATGCAGTTCCATCCTGTCCTCAAAGAGCTGGTAGTCCAGCCCTAGCTCCAGACTGGCACATAGTAACACCCTATGAAATGCTTGTTGGATGAATACATGGTTGAATAAAGGATATCTTCAAGAAATAACACATTGTTGGGGATAGCTGGGAGATAGCATGCAAGGTAGAAAGGAGTGAAGGGAGCTAGGACAGGCAACTAGAGGCCCGGTCAGGAGGAACTTTTGTTGGGAGGTACTAGGGAGCCATTGATAATTCTTGAGTGATATAGTCAGATTGGGCGGCAGTTCTGTGTAGGTCTCTATCTTAGAGGATGAGTAGTGGGTCTACACACAGCTCTCAGCCTGTCCCAAAGCATCCTCATCCTCTTCCTAACCATCCCCCGATTCCTCCCCTCTCATCATCCCATCTGGGTTGGCATCTTGGGGATGGGCAGGAGGGAAGGATCAAACTGGGGTCTCATGGGAGCTGACAGATCCTCCCAGTCCCCGACGATAACCCTTCTGAAAGAAGGGATATGGAGCCCGTCTGAGTATCTGTCTATTCTTGGAGCCTCCTTTGCGCAGGGAACAGGGTCCTCGTTTGTGTTGGGTCAGAAAGGAGATGGGTGGGAAAAGGTCTAGATTGAGAACCCCAGGGCAGAGTTAGATTCTCGAGTTTGTCCTGGGACCCAGCTCTCCTCCCCAGGCCCCCAGCACATTCTTCAAGCCAAGGAGAGCCCATCTTGACAGACAGAAAGCAGCAAACACAGCCCTGCAGTGTCAGACACCCTCGTATACCGCCCAGCACCCTGCTGTTGACCCAGTCATGAGAAAGGCCTCAGGAGCACATTCAACAGAGCAAGCTGGGGAGACCTCAGCTCTCTAAAGCAGCGCTAGTGTCCGAAGCACTCCAGACACCGCCCAGCCCAGCCTCCTGCCTCCTGGACAGACTTTCTCTCCTTCTTGCAAACCCATCCCAGTGTGCCTTCGCCATCTTGATGAGATCAAGCCACCCTTATGTCTTACTCAAATCTCCCCAGCTGTGTGAAGATGAAGACCAGCCAGTAGGCAGCCCCAGGTGGCCTGAGTTCTGGGCTCTGGTTCTGGGTGGAGAGTGATGGAGGGAGAGGATGGAGGAGGGGAGACCCCCAGGGTTGAGGGCATGAGGGAAAGAATCAGGCAGAAGCTCTGCTCAAGGCATTCCAGAGGACCTCAGCTTCCCCAGAGTAAGGAGCCCAGCCCCACTCACCCCCCATTAGCTGCCCAGGAAACACACTACTGCTGGTCCTTGGAGTGAGACCCTCTAAAGTGATCAGATGCCTCAACCTCATTCATTCTTGAGAATCAAACTTGACATTTTGCAGGTGAACCAGGGTCAGGCGAACTGAGCCCTGGGCCTGCTGTGAGATCTAGGGAAGCCACAGCCCCTTTCCAGGGCTCAGTTTTTTCATCTGGGAAATGGGCATCCTAGCTCCACCCCACACATCTCAGTGGGGTTTTCGGTTGGGAGATTAAATGAGTTAACTGCTCAGAGAGACTCCCGAGGTTACACAGCTGGTAAGTGGAGGAGCTTGGTGTCTGTCCCTGGCCGAAGGAATCCATCGATGCCCTCAACTGTGTCCAGGCCTCAATGCCTGTGGAAAAGGCCAATCATAAAGGCAAAGATAAAAATCTTCAGAAGGTGTCTAGTTGGCAAAACAATCACTGCTCGAATGCTCACAGCCTGCTTTCTTACCCTGGATGGGGAGTCAGGGAACACGACTGTGTGGCCAGCAGGGATTGCCGCAAGGTTCCCCATCTCAGTGCTGGGCAGATTAGCAGCAAAGCCAATCCCACCTCATCATACTCAGGGTCTTCCTTCCGTAAGGGATGATATCACCAGCAGGTCATCAGGGACCTGGGCCCTACAGTTCAGGTTCACAAGGACCTGCCTCTCCCTCCTGTCCTCTCCCTGCTCTCCTCTGGACTGACTGGGACACTGTGCCCCCTCACTCTGCAGGGACTCCTGCAGCCCCACCCCAGCCCCACCCCCACAGGAAAGCATTGCTTTTCCCCACCCTCTTTCCTGGAGAGCTGGACAGCAGGTGCCACCTCCCCTGGATTTTCCGGACTGCCAGGGATGGCGGGATGCCCTCCTCTAAGTCCTTTGATGGATAAGAGCCTGTATCACTACTCCATGTCTCCATGGGCTTTGCCAGTAGCCTCCCTCACTGGACCCAGACACTTCCTCCTCCTCTCCCACCACTGAGGGCAGGGACTATGACTTTTTCTCCTCTGAAGTCCCGGAGCCTTCAGCTCTCAGCCTGGGGCCAGAGTCACCATCCATGCCCATTTGTGGAGCAAATAAGTGAACATCCCAGTAAGTAAACACCTGAACCCTGAGCTGTTTCTAGAGACAAGCCTCCCCTGCTAATCTGTGTTGCCAGCTCTGACAGCGAGTTCCTATTTGTGGGACCCAACCAGGCAGGGAAAGAGAGGACGGTCACAGACCTCAGGAGCTGGTAGAATCAAAGGAAGGGACCTGAGAGGCTCTTTGAAAGCGTTGGCTGAGGGCTTCACTTTCGAAGGGGCAGGAGCTTCAGAGTTCAGAGAAGTGGTGGGCAGAGAAAGTTGAGCACAGTGATGCTGGACAGATCAGAGTCCTGCTGAAATGTTTGTGTTAGAAGATTGGGGCATCCCGGTGTCATGGGGAAGGCACAGTTCTCTGAGCTAGGAGAACTCCCTGACTGATGGGAGAGGCATCATTAGCCAGTTGGTTCATCCATGCATTCATTCATGCATGCATTCATTCAATAGACAAGCCCAGGGTGCCCCTTAGAGTCAGGCCCTGAAGCTAGAGCAAGGCCTCACCCAACTCCCAGTGGATGGAGGACCTCTGGTTCGGGACCTTCCTTCAAGAGAAACACTGAAGACCCGCATGAGGGCACACAAATCAGGTAAACCGAGGACCTCAAAGCTCCAGAGACTTCAAGGGAACAGCTCCGGCCAAGAGCGGTCCAGGGCCAGCTGGGCGTTGTGCCCAGTGTGCTCGCGTCTCTGGGGTCTGTCAGGTGAGCCTGGCACTAATGACCCTTTCCCCGCAGGTGATGAGCATCTTGAGCAACCCCAGCGCGGTGCCCCCGCAGCCACAAGCCGACTTCTCCATCTCCCCGCTGCACGGAGGCCTGGACCCGGCCACCTCCATCTCAGCCAGCTGCAGCCAGCGGGCCGACTCCATCAAACCCGGAGACAGCCTGCCCACCTCCCAGGCCTACTGTCCACCCACCTACAGCACCACCGGCTACAGCGTGGACCCCGTGGCTGGCTATCAGTACGGCCAGTATGGCCAGAGTGAGTGCCTGATGCCCTGGGCATCCCCCATCCCCATTTCTTCTCCTCCTCCCCAGGGCCTCCTGCTTATCTGTAGAAGGCTACAAGGTGGTGTCGGGGTGGGGACTGTCCATTTTACAGATGGGAAAATTGAGGTTCAGCCTGAAGGAATAGTTCACCTAAACTGACACTGAACTGGGCAAAACCCAGGACATCTCCTGCCAAGCCCTTGCTCCCATACTAGGGCTCCAACAGAAATATAATACATGACACAAATATCATTTAACATTTCTATTGGCCACATTTTAAAAGGTAAGAATAAACAGGACAGGCATAGTGGCTAGTACCTGTAATCCCAGCACTTTGGAAGGCTGAGGCGAATGAATCACTCGAGGCCAGGAGTTCAAGACCAGCCTGGTCAACATGGTGAAACTCTGTCTCTACTAAAAATATAAAAATTAGCCAGGCGTGGTGGCATGCACCTGTAGTCCCAGCTACTCAAGTAGGTGAGGCACAAGAATCACTTGAGCCGGGGAAGCGGAGGTTACAGTGAGCCGAGATCATGCCACTCTACTCCTATGTGACAGAGTAGCCTGTGTGATGAGCAAAACTCTGTCTCAAAAAAAAAAAAAGAGAAAGAACAATGAAATTATTTTTACTAGCATTTTATTTAACCCAGTACATCCAAAAGGTTATCATTTCAAAATGCAATTCACATATATTTACGGAGATATTTTACATTCTCTTCTTCATGCATGTCTTTGGCATCCTATGTGTGTTTTATGCTCACAGCCGTTTTAATTCGGACACTGAGTTTTCAACCAAAAGACTCTATCTGTATTTACATTTCATGTAGTTTACAATTGAGAAAATAGACTTATACACCAAAAGTGTTCCAAATTGTCAGTTTTCCAACCACCAAATAACTGAAGATCAGTTTTTAGCTTTGAATGCGTGAAAGTGAAATTGACATTTGAAATTCGGTTCCCCGGTTGCACTAGCCACAGTTCAAGTGCTCGATAGCCATGTGCTGCTGGTGGCCACGGTGCTGGACGGCTTAGGGGGAGACCCTGCCGTCTCTGCCCAGGGCATGGCAAAGCTGCATTTCCAGCTCTCTCGACTCCAGACTCTTCAGTGGCCTCACGCACCCATTCCAGTTGCTATCCCCTTGGTGCCTTGCCTTGAGGCAGGGACGGTGAACCTTCGGACCAAAGGCTGGGAAATGCAGGCCTGGACGTAGCCTCTGCTGCCTGGCAAGGCCAGCAGCGGGGCAGGCCCAGATGCAACCAGGAGCCAGAGGTCAGCGGTCACTCTCCTGCCCCACCTCCCTGCAAAGGCCTCACCTGCTGGTGTCAAACTAATCAGAAGGGCGTGTGGCAAGAGGGCCAGGCCCCCATCCCCGAGAGTGTCCTCCCCGCCAGCCCAGCCCTGGGCCAGCCTCTCTGACCTCTGCTTCCTGCCCACCCCAACCCACTCCTCCTCACATGGTGTTGGCCTCCACTGCCAAATAAGGGCCAGCTGTGTCGGCCTGCACCTCCCAGTTGTGTTCACGAACCTTCCTGTGCGTGCACATGCTTGCATATATGTATGTACATGTCTATATGGGTGCGTGTGAGTACATGTGTCAGGACATGTTATAATTCCTGTGTGTGTGTGTGTGTGTGTGTGTATGCATGTGTTGTGTGCATGAGATGCCTCTGAGTATGTGAGAATCCATGTGTTATTGCACGCATCTTTGCATATATGTGAGTACAGGTGTCTGCCAGTGGGCACATGTGGGCACATGTGTATAGGACTGTTCACACGTGTGCACATAAATGAGCATATTATGCACGTGATGTCACATCTGTTTGTTGTATGAACACACATGTGCACACATATGTATGTGTCTGCTTAAACAAATATGTTTAAATGTCCATTCAAGTCTGTACATATATTTGTCTTTATGTGTGCCTGCATGTTTGTATGCATATGTCAATATGTAGATATGTATAATGAACATGCATATGTGTGTATAGATATATGTTAGTGTGCAAACATGTGACTGTATGTACATGTGTATAGCTACGCATTGAGGCATGTACACATGCTTGAGTGTGCCTGTGATTGTGTGTTTGGGAGTACCTGTGTATGGACACATACACTGTATGCACCGTGTATAAATGGGGGTGCGTGTATGTTTGGGCATGTCATAGGTGTGGCCATGAGCACATGTGTATGGATGTACATCTGGGTGTAGACATATACCATGTCTGTGTGTATAACTCTGTGTGTGTGTGTGTGTGCGTGTGTGTGTGTGTGTGTGTGTGTGTGAATGTGTGCGTGGGAGTATGCATGTATATTTGAGAGCAGGGTGCTTGGGAGTGTTTCCAGAGAGTCCCAGGGCGACCTCCTGACCCAGCCCATGTTTCTGGGCATGCAGCGGGACACACATGCTCTTGATAAAAATTTTAGAGTGACCTCAGCGGCAGCAGCAGCCCCGGCCTGGGGCAGGCGTTAGTCACACCCGAGCTTGGTGCCCTGCTCCCGGGGCGCCTGCTCAATTCGGAAATAAAATTAACCCCAAAGTCAGCATGGGGGTGGCAGGGGAGGGGATCAAAAGGGAAGAGGCCTAGGAGGCGAGAAAGGAGGGTTTGTTCTCCTCTTGCTTGGGCAAACCAGGCAGAGCGTTTCCTCCCCCTCCCCCAACTCCATTCTTCTCTTTTCCATCCTCTCCTTCCACTCCCTTCTCCTCCTCTCACGCCCCTTCCAGCTCCACTCCTGCTGCCCTCGCTTCTCCAGGAAGAGCTCAGTGCTCTTCTTGGCCATGTTCTCCAGCCCTCCCCAAAGCGAGCCCTACACAGATCCCACCTGACCCCACAGAGACTCCGGGCCTGAGCTGGGAGGGAAGGGCTGGAGGAAAAGTCCGCTCCTCTGACATCAATTAGTGCGGACAAGCCACACACTTGCCTCTCTGAGCCTCAGTCTTCCCATCTGTGAAATGGAGGCCACAGAGTAGACTTAGCCATCTCAAAGTGTTTCCATTACACCACCTCCTCTCCTTTGGCATTTTGCACGCCCAGAGACACATTGTGTTCCCACTAACCACTTGCACCACATCTCTTGGCAACTGAATACGTCTGTGGCTGAGATGCCCAGCATGTGTGCAGGAGTCCCATGTTCCAGACTGTGCCTGTGTGTGCCCAGGTCCACCTGTAGTCCACTGACACCTGTCCTCTGCCCAACTTCATCCTCTAGGGCACTGGGCAAAATGCATGCTCCTCATTCATGTAATTCTCTGAGTTATTTGTCCACAGGTTGCAGATGCAAAAATGAGGCTCAGGGAGGCTAGGTAGCTTTTCCAAAATCCCACACCGTGGCAATGGTGGACCCAAAGTCTCCTAACTTCAAGCCACAGATTTGTGGAGGCCACTCAGCAACAATACACACCTGAGCCCACCCACATGTGGATTCACGTCCACGGCTTCACAGACGCCTGCATATGGACAGATGCACCACAGAGAGAGAGGTTTATATGTGAGTGTTCACTAATGTGTGTACACATGCATCCTTAAGATATAAATACACAAAGTGTGCGTGTGTAAAGGAAGGAGGGATGGCTGTTTATTGAGCATCTACTATGGGTCTGGCATGTCATCCTCACACCACCCTATGTAGCGCACATGGTTATTCCCATTGGACAGATGAGGAAATGGAATCTCAGAGAGGCTGTGTGCCCGAGGTCACCCGGCGGCTCATACTGATGTGTACACAACCACACCTGCAGCCCGTCCCTGGAGAGCCACCTTCAGGTGTGCACAGAACGAGCATACACATGGGCCAAACCCTTAGGCCCTGAGTCCTCTTCCTCCACTCCCGGGGCCTCTCCTCTTCCCAGGGACACATTCGCTCCTTCTTTTCCTGCTCTGGCTACTGTCCATCCACCTGTCCGTCTCCCCTCATCCCTGGAGGGGTGGAGGCAGGGGCCCAGGGATGGGGCACACGGCAGATTAATATGGCCCTGGTGTTCCCAGAGGCCAGGGCTGTACTAATGATGGGGCTGATAGAACGCAGAAGTGTGAAAAGAATTTTAATAGATCTGACAAGTCTAATAAGAATTTGTGTCTAGAAGGGTCCTCCTCTGGGGCTGCGGGCTGACGAGGCGCTGACGGCTGAGATTGTTTACCGGTTGGCATCAGCACCACATCTCCTGCCAACTCCCGATTAATCTAATTTGAGACATTTAGAACCCAGGCGCGGGCGCGAGGCAGAGCAGGGGAGATGCAGAGAGACAGAGGGACAGGGAGGGCCGTTGACGGGGGCCATAATGAGAAATGTTACAGCCCTGGCCTCGCCGGCCCCTCGGCTCCACCCAGGGGAGAGGCAGGCTCTGCAGCCTGTTAGGTGCCCTTGAACTTGGCAGGTCGCTGGGAAAGTTTCCTTGGCTACCTAGACAGGGCCTGGCAAGCTCCTACTGTGCACTGGGCCATGGGCTGGTTGCTGGGAGAGGCTGACAAGGAGAAGTCACACAGAGTGGCCAGAGGCACAGGCCGGACCAATGCAGGCTCCTCCATGTCACGCGCTGCATGTGACTCTGGGCCAGCGACCTCTCTGTGCCTCAGTTTCCACATTTATAGAAGGAGAACGCTCATACCTAAAGTATGGGACTGTCGAAAGAAATAGATGTGGTCATGCCTACAAGCACACAGTAGGTGGGCCATACATGAGGGTGCTCGCTTTGTTGTTCTCATTATTATTCAAAGCCAGGGAAAACTAGAACTATTGTATTTATCCAAAGTATAGGAATCGGTGTAGCAAAGGAATACCTGCGCTCCCATGTTTATTGCAACACCATTCACAATGGCCAAGATACGGAATCAACCTAAGTATCCATCAGCAGATGAATGGATAAAGAAAATAGTGTATAGATACCCAGTAGAATACTATTCAGCCAGAAAAAAGAATAAAATTCTGTCATCCGCAGCAACATGGATGGAACTGCAGGTCCTTGTATTAAGTAACATAAGCCAGGGACAGAACGACAAACATACATATTCTCATATGTGGGAGCTAAGAAGGTTGATCTCATTGAGATAGAGAGTCGAACGGTGTTTACTAGAAGCAGGGAAGCAGGGAGGAGGATGAAGAGGTTGGTGAACCGGTGCAAACATACAGTTAGATAGAAGGAGTAAGCTCTAGTGTTTGATAACAGAGTGGGGTGACTACAGCTAACAGCAATGTATTGTATATCTCACAATAGCTAGAAGAGAGGACTCGAAATGTTCCCAACACACAGAAATGATAAATACTGGGCCAGGTGCGGTGGCTCAAGCCTGTCATCCCAGCACTTTGGGAGGCCGAGACAGGCAGATCACCTGAGGTCAGGAGTTTGAGACCAGCCTGGCCAACATGGTGAAACTCCATCTCTACTATAAAAATGCAAAAATTAGCCAGGTGTAGTGGCGGGCACCTGTAATCCCAGCTACTCGGGAGGCTGAAGCAGGAGAATTGCTTGAGTCCGGGAGGCGGAGGTTGCAGTGAGCCGAGATTGCGCCACTGCACTCCAGTCTGGGTGACAGAGCGAGACTCTGTTTCAAAAAAAAGAAAAAAGAAAAGAAATAATAAATACTGAAGGTGATGGATTCCCTAAGCAGCCTGACTTGATCATTACACATTCTATGTATGTAGCAAAGCATCACATGTACCGCAATAAATATGTACAAATATTATGTATCAATTGTTTGAGAAGCCAGGGCTCTCAGCCCACCCACAGGAGTAGCTGGTGAGGTTGGCATGAGAGGCTGGCGTGGTGTGAAACAAGGTGGGAAGGCAGTGGCTGTGCTGAGACTCAGGGGAAGGGCCACCTGTCTTGGCGGTGTGACCTTGGACACATCGCTTACAGTGCCTGGAGCAGAACATGGGATCAATGCAGAATTTGGGGTGTAGAGTAGAGTACCTCATGCACTCTAAAGTGTGCATGTACAAAGGGTTATTCTCCAGGAGCACGCAGGGTTGGCTGGGAGCTAGGATCCCAGGGAGACGGCCTGGGTTTGAATCCTGGCTCCACAACTTATGAACTGTGTGATCTTCGAAGTGCAGCAGTCTCTCAGGGCCTCAGTTCCATCATCTGTAAGATGCCGATACCACCACTACCAGCCTCACAGAGTTGTGAGAACTAAATGAAAATGACCACAAAGTGCTTCTAACAGGACGGCATAAGCAGGCTCTCTGTAGACATTGGCTCCTCCTCTTCCCATTCCTACTGTCACTCTAAGAATGAGCCTTCGTAACAGGGTGGACCCTGGAGCCCGGGGAGGGTAGGCTCCCGGTAGCAGAGTTGGTGTGGCCAGAGCTGCATGGTCCCCGCAAGGCCAGAGATGGGAATGGCCGTACCCCCACACAGAGAAAGGGGCAGACCCAAGGCAGGGCCAGGCTGGCTGCCACCGCCTCTGCTCTACCAACTGGGAGCCTGGAGGCCAAGTGACTTCAGAGGAAGGTTGGCAGCCCCCAGGGGCTCAGCTCAGACCCTAAGCAGGCTTAACTTTCCTCTCATCACCCACCCTCGATCCTGGCAAGCAGAGGGGCAAGGGTTCAGGCACTCCAGAAAGACCCCCGAGCATCTGCACATCCTTTGAGAATGTTAAGGGCCCAGCCCCTGCATGCTCCATAACCCACATGGTAAAGATCACTGACTCACTTCTTCCTCAGAGCAGCAGGCTCGGAGGAGGCTGGACTTTGTTTTCTCCCTTCTACAGACAAGGAAGCAGGCCTAGAGAGGTCAAGGGATGCACCTAGAGCCACATGAGTGGGAGGTAACTGGAACTGCAGCCCCCTCATCTGCTGCTCCATCCCCTCCTGATCAAAGGCCACATTTGCTTACTCAATCCCAATCCGAGTCTTCTGCTGCTTCCAAACCCACATCTCTCGAGCTCATGATGTGGCAGCACGGTACCAGCCAGTCACTTTGTATGCATTTCTCCTTTATTCTTCATAACAGCTCCTCAGATGGATGCTATTATGATCCCATTTTACAGACAAGGAAACTGAAGTTCGAATAGATGAGGTGGTATGCCCCAAACCTCACGCTAAAAGTTGGCATGTGCAGGATCTGAACCTCCGTCATTTGAACCACTAGGCAATACGGCCTCCCATGGCTCAGTGATTGGCACTCCCTGGCCTCGTCCTCAGGCCGTGCCTGAGGCCTGTGACCTTTTGGCTTCACCCACCTGCCCTAGGCAGAAACCTCCAACCTTGGGCAAGCATGTAAAGTACCACAGGGTCCCCTGTGGGGAGGTAATAGAACAAGTGTTGAGCCAGGCCTCGTAATTCCTAACGCAGTGTTCTTTCCATCCTCCTCTTGCTTCTGGATCCTACAAATCCCGGGGATTTGGACTGGCCACAGCCACAGACCCCAGCTTGGGAAGCCCCCATCCCTGTGTCTCTGGAGGGCTTGGCCACACCCCAGCCAAATCATTTGGTCAGGGCTGATTTCTGCTGTGACCTCAGATAAGCGGAATCAGTATAGTCAAGACAGAACATGTGTACGTGCAGGTCAGGGCTCATCCCTGCACATACACACGGAGAGGCAGGTACCTGGCTCAGTTGGAACTCACCTGTCCATAGTACCTGCACATGCATTGGCATTCCCAAGGTTCATCTATTCACAAAGGTGCACACAACTCACACGCATATGTGCACATGTGTGTGCGATGTTGCTTTTGTGTGGACATTCATGTGCAGGCCAATTACTCAAGAAGAGTCTTGTTTCCGCTGTTCACACACACAAATATGCACCACTCTCAGGCTCAGACACTCATCTGTCTCCTCTGTGTGACCAGAAGGACAGAGCAGTCGGTCCCAGCTTCCTGCATATTTGTGTCCTGGCGTCTTCTGCATGGATCCCTCAGTTCACCCTCAGCCACTTTGGCCTTGCAACAGAGGTCTTGCTTTGCCTTATCTGTAAGCTGAGCACAAATAGAGAAAGCAGAGAGACCTTGCCCTAATCATTGCCTGGACTCAGGGACTCACAGGGCCTCCTCCATAGCAAGAATATGTAGTGGGTTTGTTGAGGGGTGGCGAATTCTTCGCTCAGCAATGTGGATAATCTTCTGTGCCTCCCTAGGAACTTACCAGAGAGCTGGGCACACAATGTATTAAATAGATATTTGCCAAATAATTGGAAAGGAGGTGAGAGAAAGAGCTTTATGAAGAGATGGATGGATGGATGGATGCATGGATGGATGGAAGGGAAGGATGAGTGGATAGAAGGATGGGTGGATGGATGGATGGGTGGGTGGATGGATGGATGGGTGGATGGATGGATGGATGGATGGATGGATGGATGGATGAGGGATGGATAGAAGAATTGATGGACAGATAGATGCACGGATAGAAGGGAAGGATGAGTGGATAGAAGGATGGGTGGATGGATAGATGGATGGGTGGATGGATGGATGGATAAATGGACAGAATGGATGGGTGGGTGGATGCATGGATATGGCTGGATGGATGAGAGAATGAGTGGATAGAAGGATGGAAGATAATGGATGGATGCAAGAACAGATGGATAGACAGAGGGTGGATGAATTGATAGATGGATTTAGAGTGAACAGAAGAATAAACAAAAAAGAACCTCAATTTCTAGGAGATTCTCTTCTTTTTTCCAGCTGCTGTTGATTACCTGGCCAAAAACGTGAGCCTCTCCACCCAGCGTCGCATGAAGCTTGGGGAGCACTCTGCTGTGCTGGGACTCCTGCCTGTGGAAACTGGACAGGCCTACTAGGGCCCCCGGGGCAACTCGCCCCCGCCCAATTCCCAGCCCAAGCCTAACCGACCCCTGAGCCTCCCAGCCTTGCTCCCTCATCCCCCTGGGGTCCCAGGAGGCCAGGAAAGGAGCCCACCCGCTTCTCATCACCGGCCCCCTGGAGGTAGACGGCCAGCTTGTCACTCACCTGTTGGTTAGGGATCCAGAGTGATGCCCTTGGAGTCTGCTCCCCACTCTCCCCCAGGAGGGTTTCTGGTTGTCCTGCAGCCCTCCCTGTCAAATCCCATGGTGGCCTCTGTGCCAACTCAGGCATGGAGATCGAGGCCCGCCCTAAACACCTGGGGCACCCAGAGGAGGACAGTGCCTGAGAGGAGGTCCTGCAGCCCTTTGGACCCAGCTCCAGTGGGTGACCTAGCTAGAGAGGGAGGTGAAGCTTTCAGGGCTGCTCTCAGCTGGTTGTACTGGGAGCCACCCTTCCAAGGTGGGTCTCTGGCTCAGTGTCAGAACCACAGCCCTTTCCTCCTCTAGACATTGGGACTCCAGCAGTGAGGGGACCCTGGCTCTGGGGTCTTCCCAGAGGAGTCAGCAGGGAGACAGTCTCACCCCCACCCAGAAATTTGAAGGACTTCAGAACGCTCCCCCCACACCTCTACTGGGTGCACAGGGAAATCTAACACAAGCAGGGAGACTGGGGAGGCCAAGAAGAGTCTTAACCAGAAGGCAGGGCCATATGGGGGTGGGGCTTGTCAGCCATGGGCCCACCCAGGTTACATGGACCCGACTCAGGCATCTAGAAGCAGAGGGCTCCTAGCCTGAAGCCCAAGTTCCCACCATGTCCTCCCCATCTAGGGCCTGGGGAGCCCACAGAACTTTTCAATTTCCTCATTAGCTGGATCAGATGAGATGGAGAGGGGATCAAGTCTTGAGGAAACATGAGTGGAGGGGCATGAAGTGGGCTCAGAAGGGGCTCTCATAACCAGGTCCCTTTGCTTGTGGGAGGGCAAGCCTTTTTTTGCCCAAGGCTTCAGCTCTCTGCTTGCAAGTTCATACCCCAGGGAGTTGAAATTTTGCCCAAAGTCTCCCACAGAGATCCAGGCCCATGCTCACCATGTCCCATCCTCTAGGAAGAGGTCTCCATCTTCCCCAAACCCCTCTCAGCTTCTGGGGATGCAGAGAGCAACCCTCAGAGCTTTGGAGGAGGGTTCTAGACTGGGCAGGAATTGTTTGCCCCAAGACAAGGCTACAAATTCCCCCCGGCATGTCGGTAGGGACATATCCCACTGTCCCACCCAGAGTGGCATCTTTCCATGTTGCCTCCCTCTTGGCCAAGGAGCCTATGTCTCCTGATCCAGCACAGCTTAGCTGGGGCAGCTGGGGCCAGTTTTCAAGCTACCATCCCTAAGCAGGGGAAGATGTCAACAGTTTCAGAGCAGAGGGAAGAGGCAGCTTCCTTGACCACACCAGCGGCCTCCTGAAGTACCATTCTCTTAAAAGCTGGAACCTTGAGGGGGTGATTCAAACCCCCGACTCCCCCTCCCTGGGAACTTTTTACCGCCATTACCTATTTATCAAAATCATATTTGTCTTTACCATCACTGTCACTGTAATCCACATTCCATCACCATTATCAGGCGCTGCTGGGTACAAAGTACTTGGGATGGGAGACACAGCACTGAATTCACACACATTGGACCAAATTGCTTGTCCCCACCTGGATTCCTGAGGCCACCTCTTTGCTCAGTCCATGCCTCTTGCCCTCAGCCAACAAGACATTCCTAAAGGGAAGGGCTGCTGCTCTGGGAGTCAATCTGAGTTCCTCCTTCCTGGGGAGCTGGTTTGGCAAGATCCTAGGACACTCGCCTGCATGGACGTCACCTCTGTGACAAATGCTCATCCACTTCTCATCTTCAGAGTCAGTGATATCAAGCCTTTCCTGGACCATGACCAGGTTGGTTCATATCTCTGGTTTAGAGGAACCTATGAATAGCTGGGGACAAACAGACCCTTTGGTAGCAGCGGACACGTGTGACCCATCAAGGTCAACCAAGGTTGCAACTGGAGCATCCACTGCGGGAGACCTTTGGTTCTTCAAGCTCAGGCAAAAAAGAAGACTCTGTTGTCCCTTGGTAGCCCAGTCCCTGCTTTTATAACTATCACAGCAGAAAGCAGCTCTTCCTGAAGACCAAATACTCTTCATCCACATTCCCTGAACGGTCAGTCCTTCCCCTGGAGGCCTGGCTCAGAAAGTGTCTGAGTCTCCTGACACCCTCTGTGACTCAGGAGCAGAGATCTCAGGCAGGTGACATCAAAACCACCCAGCCCCACCCCCAGGAGGTGATGTTTCCGTGCTAGGACCAATCCCAGATATCTGGCCCCAATGGTGAAATGGAACTAAGACCTGCTTGGAAATAAACCAAATGATTTCTCATGATGTTGAAGATAAGTTCTCCCAAGCCACTGTCTTGGTAGAAAATGGGACTTATTCCTTGAGGGGCCCCACCCCCTTCAGAAAGAGGCCCTTGACCCCCTGATAGGTTCTCTCTAAAACCCGTATACTAATGTGTCTGGCCAACTTGGGCTATAAAATTCAGCCTTGGGTTGGCAGCTCGAAACAGCACCAGAGAGGAGATATTGGACGGAAGACACAAGGCCTCCATGTCTCTGGGGCTGACCACAGCCTGAGAAAGAAGGTCTGGGTTTCAGCGGCCAGGCTGTCCCAGAAACAACCCCATCCATCCCTGTAAATAGAGTCTGTAGCAAAATAAGAGCTGCTTCCTCCAACTTAATCACAAGTCGCTGTTGGTCCTCTCTGAGGAGGGCTCTCTTTTGAGTTCATTGTACATTAGTTGGAAATGTGGTGATGTGCTGTTCGTTTATAGAAAGTTGACTTTTTATAAATATATATATATATACTAAAAAAGGAAAGAAATCCCCCACAGTGTGTGTCGTGCTAGTGCCAGGAACCATCTGTAGGGATATATCTTCATATCGTGTGTTTCAAATTATGCATTCCAGGCTCTGTTGGGTTCTTTCATTCTTGTTCTTTTATTTTTTCATTTGGTATTTCTCTCTTGCTATATAAAGAAAAAAAGAAGTGATGTGTAAGCACCAAGCTATGCTTTTATACTTCCATTTTATACTTGATTTACCTTTGTTGTTCTTTTGCCAGAGGAACATGAAAGGGCAGAGCAAACAGAGAACTAGGGGGATAAGAGAGAAGGAAAGAAGGATGGAGAGAGAGGTTTGCCCAGAGGGAAAATGAAAAGAGTCAGACTGGAAATCTGACTCTGGCTTAAGAACAGGACAGGTCCCAGACTTTGACCACACTGTCAGCATCCAGTGTTTTAAGGTGGAGTTGGTGAAGCATCCAAGAGTTTGGATCCTGGGACTCGGTGAAACTCCATTACCCAACGAAGAAGATGTTCTCTAGGGCCTCTCTCAGGCTGATGTGCTTCTCATCAAGCTCCCGAATGTGTCTCGCACTATTGGACACTTTTTGGGGGTACACAGGTCTTCTCTCTTCCCCTCCTGCAGAGGCACCAAACCAAGACCAAATGGGGGTTCTCTAGCTGCCAACTTGAAACGCTCCGAGACTTCTGTGTATTTGATGCTTCTTCAAGTCAACGCTGACATGGCCAATTCCCTGACCTGGGAAATATCTACATAGTACTCTAGATCATTCCTCCTTCCTAGTAACTGCAACTTTGTTGCTTCCGTGTTTGACTCACAGCCATTTCCCCCATGCGGAAGTGAGTGGGTGTGTGAGAGCGTGAGTGGGGTGTGTGTGTGGGCGTGTGGGTGTGAGGTATGTGTTTAAATATAATCGCAACATAATTTATTCAGCTATATGGAGTAGTAGACTAGAAAGATAAACTGGTATTTGCTTTAACTACCTGCTGCTTGTAAGCGCTTCCTCTGTAACTCAGGCGTAACTGTTATACATTAAAATAAATTAAAAGCATTTTGAAGGTTTCGTGTACTCAGTTGATTGTCATTTGGATTGCTCCAAAAGGGACTCTGAGGGGTGTCCAAGAAGCCTTTGTACCTAATTTAGAGGATCAGGGTAGAAACCATGTTTCTCTTGCTCCCTACTGGGTCCTCTAGGGCCAAGCAGCTGCGAGGCTTCTAGTGAATGCCTGATCAATATTTGATCAGTGGATGCTGTTGCTTTAAGCCTCTCTCTGAGCTCATAGAAACAGTATGGTGTCAAAAAATATGGTGAAACTTTAGTCCTTTTCACTGGAACAAACTTTTCCTGCTGCTAAGCATAGAGCCCTTGGTAGCTCTCTCTCATTACACAGGATGTAGGAGGTAGAAGAGAGCTCAGAAACTTACATATTGCTTAGAAGCATATGGGGATTCTTGGGCAATTTTCTGTTTTTGTTCTTTTTAGAAATGGGGTCTTGCTATGTTGTCCAGGCTGGAGTGCAAGGCTATTCACAGGTGTCATCACAGCACACTGCAGCCTTGAACTCCTGGGCTCAAGCAATCTTCCTGTCTCAGCATCTTGAGTCACTGGGACTACCAGCATGCCTGGCTGTTTTTGAATTATTGATGGCAAGCTCTCCAGAGAAAGCTGTAAGGGCATGAAGGAAGCAAGACAGGACAGGTAAAGAAGCTGAGCAAAGAGGGGGTTTTACCTGGCGTCCAGCTTCAACCTGATGTTACAAGGAGCGACGGAGCGTGGACTGTAGTATCAGGGTAGCCCCACTTCAGGCCGGGGCTGGCCTCTGGTACTGGATCAGTTGGTCATCGACTGCTGGTTGTCCTGGTAATGTGTGTGGGTGGGTGATGTGTAAGTGATGCGTAAACTATCTGCCCAAGCATCTGTAGAGTGGCTCTTGTGGGCTGCAGGCACTTCTGCAGAGCAGGCACAGCTATGAGCCCTTAGCAATAACAAACACATCAATTAGGGGACAGTTGCACTGACCCAGACAAAGGGACCTGAGCAGGGACCAGCAAGGTCCACTCCACGTATGTTTCCCTGGCCCTAAACCTGGGTACCCAAGTCATTCCAGGGCTTCTGAACAGGAAGGCAGTGGGGTGAGAGAGTTGTTGGTTGAAATTGTACATGAAGTATTGATAAGGTGTTCCTGTTGACCTGTGTCCAGTTAAACCAGCCAAATTCCCCAGGGCAAGATCTGGAGGAAAACCCTTGAGTCTTCCTAGGGTCTGAAACCAATCAGAAGTTGCCCCAGTATCTTCCTCTGTACAGAGTCCCTGCAGCGTGATTAGCTCTGTGCCAGCCCCTCTGGAATCCAGACAGCATATATCAGAACTAGTGCTCCCAAACATATCCTGTCCCACATCTGTCCCCCACCCACCCATAACCAGACAATCTATCCTTCAGGTAAGCCAGGAAGATGTGGGAGAGAGTCCCCTCTGCATGTAACCCACTGTGGGTCCTAAGACAATTTTCTTTCCCTATTGGACCCTATTTCCATATATTTGTAAGAAGCAGGCTGCTGACACCTAACGATCTTCCAGGTTACCATAAAGAAAAACTAAGCCAAAGGCTTGTTGTCACGCAAGCAGCTCAGAGAGTGCCTGGATGGCTTGAAGGTGTTCATCACAAGTACTGGGAAAGCAACACAACACATGAGGTGCTGAGTGCATGAGGCCAAGGAGCTCCCCAACATAGCCTGCCCTTGGAGACCCCCCACTTAGGGAGCTTTCCTAGAAGCACCTTCTGCCCTCAAAGACCTCTTTGTACATCCCAAAGAAAGCTGAGAATGTAGTTTTCTACCCAGGGACGTGACTGCCCAGAATGAAATCGGGTTTCTGTGTATAAAAGAAAAGAGGAGATGGATATTGGACAGACAAGTGTATCAGCTACTGCCACAATAATGCTGCATAACAAAGCAGTCTCTCTTCCTGGTTTCACTGCTCTGCACACTTTATGGTGAATGAGTTTCACAGCCTTTACTTGGATAGCATTTACTAGTGAGGGAAAGGGGCTCCTTAGACAGCAGATAAATGAAGCCACTGAGGTGGGAAGGACACACAGCACAGGGAGACAGTGCAATTGCTCCTGCTGTGTGGCTGAGTCTAGAATATCTGGTCCTCCTGAGAGTACAGGTTCCAGAGCTCCACCACTCCCCTCCCTAGGCTGCCACTGACTTAATCTGAACAGAGGTCATTTTCCTAGTCCTGGCAATGTGAACATCTGCAGTGGGGAGTGGAGATCCATTTCCCAGAGGCAGCAGGTGGTGGTGGGGTTCAGAGATCCAGTCACCTTAGCTCTTAGCACCTTAGTTCAGAGCTCCAGTCACTTGAGCCACTTTTTGGAAGAACCAAAACGTGCTTCCTTAGGTAAAGCCCCACCCCTTGGTAACCTCTGGGTGACCATAGGCAAGTGACTTCCCCTCCGCTGTCCCATTCTTCAGAGTGTCCCACTGCATTAGCATAGAATACAGTAACCAACAACCCCAAATCTTGGCGGCTTAAAATAACAAAGGTTTGCCTTCTTCTCATCCATCATCATGACCACTACTCATCCTAGTCAGCCTGATAGAGACAGGCATCCCCTTGAACGTGCTGGCCACAGGTACCCAAGGAAAGACAGAGCAGGTGGTCAGGCACTGGCTCTTAAAGCTTCCACTCAAAACACAGGACACACCTACTCACATACCATTGGCCAGAGCAAGTCACATGGCTACACTGCACTTCAAAGGGAGCAGGGAGGTGTAATCTACCATTTCCCTGGTAGATTGCATCAGCTGCCCAGGGGGTTTTCATGAGGATCAGGAAGAGAAGCAAACACCTTCCTGAAGCACCTGTTCTGTGCTCCTCTCCAAGGTGGGCTCTGGAGTGAAGGTGGGGCAGGGAGCCACATTAAAAAGAACAGAAGACATAGATGGCCCGTGCTCTGAGGGAAAGGGAACATCATTTAATTGGGCTCCTAAGTGGTCCAGGCAGCAGCTTTTTGTGTATCATCAGTGTAACAACAGCCCTGTGAGGTGGGAAGTTAACCCTTTGATGTACAGGAAGGAAATCAAGGGTCAGAAAGTTAAAGTCTCAGCTCAAGCTCACGTCACTAGTCAGTGGTGGAGGCTGAGCTCTCCATGGTCAGGTCTGATTTTAATATCAAAGTGCTGGGGAGATGGAGCAGGGGTCTTGTGTGAGGGTGAATGCCCAGGGTCTCTACCCCATAGAAAACAGATGGAGCTGCTTTCTGCTATAGGGCTCACACCAAAGGGGCTACCCCAGGTCAGGGAGCCCCACAGGTCACCTTCTTATCTGGCAATGAGAAACCTGCCAGGAAACCCTCAGGTATTAGCAATGGAGTGGTCCCTCCAAGAATTCACACTGCATTCATTCTCTGAAGAGATGGGCATGTTGGCTGCAAATAAGAGCTTAAGAAAGAAACGCTAATATTAAGTACCACACATCCATAGTTTTAGTTAACCCTCCCAACATCCTGCAAGGTAGGCATTGTGAATCCTCAGACAAGTGAGGACATGGACCCAAACAGTAAAGTAACTGGCTCAAGCCTCCCCCAACTAGAAATTGGAGAAGTAGAGATTCAAACCCAGATCTGACTGATCTCCAATGCTTTGTTTATCATACCAGGCTGCTTCCCCAAAGTGGAGCGATGACACTGGGTAAACCAGAAGGACAGTGCTTCTTGAAAGGAAATGTAACAGTCAGCTATGTCACAATAATGCTGCACAACAAACCACCTCAAAACTCAGTGGCTTCAAACAACAAGCATTCATTTTCACATTCACAGGTTTATAGGTTGACTATGGTTGGGCTCATCTAGCTAGCCATGGATGGTGTGATAGGCACAACTCTAAGATGTCCCCTAAGATTCCTAACTTCTGGTTTACACACCCTATTTAGCTCCAACCCTTTGAGTGTGAGCAGAATCTGTGAATATAATGAACTAGGCACTATCTTCACATGGTTATGTTACCTGGCAAAGGTGATGGAATAGTCAGTCACTCTCATGATTACATTACATTACATTACATTACATTACATTACATTACATTACATTACTTTAGACTTCATCACAGCAGACTGCAGTGAGGTCCTCCTGCTGGCTTTGAGAAGTAAATTGGCTACATGGCTAGGATGTGAAGGCATCCTCTAGGAACTGAGAGTGACCCTTGTCCAATAGCCAGCAATAAAATAGAGACCTCAGTCTTACAGCCTCTAGAAACTGAATTCTGCCAAAAGCCCAAATGAGCTTGGAAACATTCTTCCCCAGACAGGCCTTCAGATGAGATCATAATCTCTGCCAACCCCCAATTTCAACCTGGTCAGTTCCTCAGCAGAATACCCAGCTCTTCTGCACTCAGACTTTGACTTACAGAAACTGTGAGAAAATAATTGAGTGTTGAGTTAATCCATGGAGTTTGTGGTACTTTGTGATGCAGCAACAGAAAACTAATACAGACAAGCAGCTTGGCTTCAGGCTACAAGTTTGACAATATTTGTTCTGAGATCCCATTAAGAAGGCAGCTTCTAGGCCATGATTACAAATCATGAGTTCAATGGATGTGTGGGAGTTCCAGTTCAATCTCCATTTCAAGCTCCTTCTCTTGCAGATTCACTGACATCCCACAGCCAATGCAAGTTTCATGAGGCCAAGCTCAAAGTCAAGGAATGGGAATGTATATTCTATGCATCTTAAGACATGAAAAGAGTACAAATGTCTAATTCTATAATACAGAAGTAAAGAATTATGACCCATTATTCAGAAAATGTAGGGGAAAAATTCCTCTGTTTGTTTCTACCTCCTCCACTTCCATGGATGCACAGCTGATCAATAAGCATTTACCTCCATGGTAAATTTAAAGTTCATGAAACCCCATGCCATCCCTGTCACATTGGTACACAGAAGATAGGCTTCCAAGAGAGAAACGTGGGACTTAGGGGAAGTCAGGTGCATGTCAGAGTATCAGTAGGAGTATCAGGATGAAGTTTGTGGGGTATCAGGAGAAGCTTTGGACA